TAAATATTTTTTTGAAAATCTTATTGAAATAGTCATTATTATCGTTGCAGAGGCCGAATCTATGTATAGCTTTTAGAATTTTTGTCCGTCTGTCTGAGAACGCATCCCGAGAAAACCACTGTACATATTTTAGTGAAATTTGGTATGATGATAGCTCCGTATCTGGGTCAACATATAGGACTCTTTTTAATGCGGGAAAATATCTCATCTCTGAGAAATCTAAACTAACAGTTAAAACGCACCGAGGGATGAACCCGAGTGGAGCGAGGGTGAGTCGCTAGTACATAATATAATACAATGCAATACCACGTCATAAAACCGAGTCATGGGTAGGCTTTATTTTCATTAAAGAGATGCTGAGAAAATGTCAAGCATTTGAAATTTAAATACCATCACGTTTAAATTTAGCACAATGGTGGAGGAACGCCTTAAAAACTGACTTTGAGAAAGGTTTTAATTTCTTTATATTTGGTTTCATTGTGTTTGACGAATATGGACCGACTATATTTATCAATTGATTATTTCGACGACACGTTTGGCTCAGTTTGTAGTGACCCTGCTTGCTGAGCCAACGGTCGCAGGTTCGAGTCCCGCTGGGGGCATTAATTTGTGTGAAGAGCATGAATGTTTGTACTCCAGTCATGGGTGTTTATATTTATAATATGTATGTATGTATCTAAAGTTATATTATACTAGCATTGCCCGTGGCTCCGCCCGCGCTCAGATGACCAAAAACCAAATTCTTAGGTTTTATATATTAGTGTACTCTTACATTGCAGTTTTTGTAGTTTTCTGAGAAATGAGATATTTTCCCGCGTTAAAAAGTATTCTATATGTGGACCCGGATAACCAGCTATCACCATACCAAATTTCATCAAAATCCCTCTATTATATTTTAACTAGTGGTTTACCTTAGCTTGGCTCGGGTGCACGGTCGGACGGACGGACGGACAGACAGACAGACAGACAGACAGACAGAAAGACAGACAAAAATTCTAAAAACTATAGATTCGGCCTCTGTATCCATAATAATGTATGTCTATTTCAATAAAATTTCCAAAAAAATATTTAATGTACAGATTTGATTCAGTTAGAATTTTATTATATGTATAGATGTAAGCTATTGTATAAAAATCATGCATATTCCCTATTAAAAATAGTTCTTTTGGTCGTTTAATATAATTAAATAAACTTAAACTCAAATTCAAACTACATTCTAATAGACTTAATGTGTCAGCGTTATCAGTCTATCGGAGCTTCCACTGGCTTGGAATGCGGTTTTGCTGAGAAAGGCCGACACATTTTAGCTGTAGCTCCTTCGAATGTCAAGTTATTTGTTCCATTTAATTACAGCACCTGGACCATCGGGCTTCGCTTGTCGTTTTCGCACAAGATACGGGTATAAAGAAAAGATACCTTTGATACTCTACACCAGATTACCTTTAATCTAGATGCAATAAAGCATTTCTAAAAATTGAAAAAGCTAGTTTAAACATTTTATCAAACATATATTTTGGTAGTAAAAACAATCCTAGATTTACTATAACAGTTACAATGGCTTACCATCACCACTCGGGTCTCGCCCTAGAAGGGACCTTTTCCAACTCAGTTCATAAATATATATTATACTGATAGATTATTTTGCTCGATTTTATTTGAAATTTTAGACTTCCCAGTAATCTATCTATATATATAAAAATGAATCCCTGTTTCCCTTGGTCACGCCATCACACATGAACGGCTGGACCGATTTAACTTTTTTTTGTTGAGTTTGTTATTGTCAGAAGAAGGTTCTTATGAAAGAAAAAAAATTAAAAATTGCGCGGAAAATTATTAGATTTAAGAATACTTAACAACCATATTAAAATTTATATGGTTAACGCTGGGTAATAACTATTTATATATATTTAAAACGTACCCAGCGACGAACACGAGCGAAGCGAAGGTGAGCCGCTAGTAATCTTATGAAAATCCGTACACTATTTTCTGAGATTAGGTTGAACAAACACAAATTTAAATTTAATTTATAATACGTGATTATATACACAGCGATTTTCCACTATAGAATTTAAATTATGTATATTATAGCTACGACACCGCTTTGAAGGGCTGATTAGTAAATACAATGGGGGTTATCTTAATGCATCGTATTGAAATTTTACACAATAGTGGTCTTTGAAATCGATAAGCCAATGGGGCGTGGTTTGGAAGTTTCGAGGCAAAATCAAGTTCATAATATAAGCTTATTGTTATTGAAAATGAAGATAAAGAAAATATTTAGTTGTTCTAGTTTCGGAAATCCTTTGTATGTTTTTAAACAAGCTACCAACTTTGTTAAGTTGTAAGATTATCAAATCAAAAATCTAAGGATTTTTACTCAAAAAATTTTGTTTTCCACTAACTCGAGATCCTTTTATTTCAAAAAATAAAAACAAATCTAACTCGCGGGAACCGTACATTTTTCTAGTAGGTGTTATTTTGATGTATTAGCTACCTACTATTGTAAAATTTTATTAAAATCAATTCAGTAGTTTTTGCGTGAAAGAGTAATAAACATCCATACATCCTCACAAACTTTCACATTTAAAATATTATATGGTTTTTTTTAATAATACGTTTTAAATCCATTTTTATCAAGTATGTGAAAACACGTTTGGCTCATTTGTAGTGACCCTACTTGCTGTGCCAGCGGTCGCGGGATCGAGTCGTCGAGGGGGCATTTATTTATATATGTGTAGTGTATCAACTATCTGGTATCCATAATACAAGCCTCGTAGCTTACCATGGAACTAGATGGCGCTGTGTGTTAATGTCCCCACATATTTTATGTTTATGCTAGACAGTAACTTAACACCCATATGTAGATAGTTTTAAAATACTTCTAACTTGGAACTGTGTTTTTTGTTAAAACTTTAACATTGGTACTTATTCAACTAGCTGATATATTTACATTTATTATTTACGATTCTATTATGAATTATAATTGAAAAAATATTTCTTTTACAGTATATTCAATTAAAGAGAAAGCATTAGGAGATCTTACCTTAGATAAAAGCTGATAAGGAGCTTAGAAATAATGCTAAGTTAAATTGGATTTTTCCCTTGCAGAGTCTGTAATATTCTACGCACGCACTGAGTGAAATTTTGTAGACTTTATTATGATATAAAATATCCATATTATTAATATTCTTTTTAATTAATCATTATTATTTAGCCCTTTTAAGCGTCCTATTGCTGGGCACAGGTAGTGCGGGTTTGTGGACTTTACATGTTCTTCGAAAACCTGCTAGATTCGCTGAGACATGTAGGTTTTCTCAAGATGTTGTCCTTCATCGCAAGACTAGGGGTAATCATGTTGGGAATGATTCGCATATGAAAATATCAGAGGTGCGCTGCCCAGGATTTGAACCCGTTTTTGTTTACAATTGAATTAGTACTTTGCTCTACTTATACATATATTATGTGAATGATAACGGTAAAAGAAGAGAACATTCAAAGTGTTGTTCCATTCAAAGTACATAAATATTAAATCAATAAAACAATAAAATACTCAAACAAATAAAAAATAACGGAATTAAAAAATTCTGGAGTTTATCGGAAATTCCATAATTTATGATATTGATGATACTCGATGAATAAAGGAAGCTTGAAAAAGTAGGTTAAAAATAATGAATGCCATCGAAAATAATAAAAAAATTCAACTTTAATTAAGAAAATAATTATATCTGATGGTCGTTGTACAATAATATTAACTTACCTGTTTGGGTTCGCTTTAATCTTAAAGGTTCGTTGGTCGATGCTTGGAGACGTATTTTGTTACATTTTTATGTTAATAATTAATAGATTTAATATTACAAACAAGTGTTTTTATGTTGGTTTGTCTTTTTTCACACTGTGAGTGAAAAAAATCGACGTAATTATTTGACCGACTTTAAAAAGAAAGAATTAAACTTAGCTTCTTCGTTCGTGTGAGTGTATGTATTAGACGATATTTTTGCCAATTATGAACCACTAGCGACTGATCCTCGCTTGGTTTCGGGTTCGTCCCTAGACAAAAACAAATCTATCCCCACAGGAACCGTACATTTTTTCGGCGTAAAAAGTAGCCTATGCGCTATTCCAGATTATAATCTATCTCTGTGCCAAATTTCATTCAGATCCGTTCAGCTGTTTTAGTGTGAAAGAGCAACAAACATCCATCCTCACAAACTTTCATATTTATAATATTAGTGTGGTAATGAACTCTTCATAATTTCTAATTAATACTTTCTTAGATTTGCGTGAATATTTGACATTTTAAATCTTTTCGGGAGAGTCTCTCCCGTGCAAAAATCAAAATAATTACGCCAAAAAATCCGAAAAGATAGTTTTATTTGAAATTTCTATTTAATTATATATTACATTAAATATATATTTAATTAATGTCTACCTCAAGAGATGAAATTATTATTATTTTCTAAGTGAGTTGCATACCAAAGTTCATGGGTTGGGAAGTACTAAAGATTACTTTTTATTCTGGAACATAAAGTGGTACTTATGGTATAAGCCCACTGCAAAAGCTCGCTAAAAATTCGTGGTATTTGAAGTCTCATCCTAAGTTGTTAAATAATAATTAAATAATGGACTTATTAATAGTCCAATATCATTTAAATAACGATACTTTATTATTACAAAATTAAAAAGTACAGTCCTTTGAAATTGATTCAAAATAATACCGCTATTAACTTAAATTATTTTAAATCAATTTAAGGACCGTACTTTTTAATTTTGTAATAATAAAGTGTTAATTTTCATAATAAATATACACTATATCTTTTAAAATGTAATAACAATTTGTATAATAACATAACAAAAAAATATATATTAAGCTGCAGAACCTGCCAGAAACAAGCATATATATGTAAATATACTTGAAGGACATTATTTTCGTCTCCTGGGACAGTTTGGTTTATGTATAATGCGCACATATTTACAATATTTTTTTATTTACAGATAACGCCATGATTTTCATCATTTTTATCATCATAATCGCAACAGTGAGTTCTGTTGAAGTGGAATTCTGCGATTCATGCATTAAAGTTGATGAAAGCACTTGCTATAATGTTTCATACCTCTTCGACATCGACGCTCCATTTGGGGAGAAAGTCTTTATAACTAAGTTGGGAGTGCTAAGATCTACCAACACTCTGTACTTCAGCTTCCAACCTGCTTTCGAAAATGAGGAATATTTTAAAATTGGATTTGTTAATATAGAAACTCCTGGCAACACAACTGTTATATCGGGTGGGAAGCAAATACTAAACTTTGGAACATTTGATCTAGATCAAGATAATTCTTTAGTATATTTAGGAGGAAGCGATGGTATCTACGTATTAGATACCACTTTAAACAGAGTAGCACCATACGGTTCGAGAGGAGATATAGTTATAAGTTTATTTTATAGAGGCCATGTGTACTTTGTTAGGAAGGGTGAGTTTAAAATTATTAAAAAGAAAGGCGATAACTTCGATGTGCTAGTTGATGTAATGGCCGTTACCAATTTTGTTATCAACAAATACAATGTAATAGTGTTCGTGGGAACATATGGTTTGTTCGCCAGTTATAAGGGCGAAACAGTTTGGATATCGAAAAACAGATTTTTTAGAGGCTTAGTAATAGATAAGAATGATGATATATACGCGTGGTGGATAGACGGGATATATAGAGTGATTATTGGGCCAAAATTTTCGGACTCATCAATCGTTAAACTTATACATATTCCAGTCATCGGAGCAATGACATTTGATAGCAATAACGATATTATTTTCACAGTTAATAAAAGTTTGTTTAGATTAATTAAAACGAGTAATACAACGGTTTGTTGAATTTGTTATGTTTATTCGTTGATATACAAAAACTCAAGATATAAGATTTGGCGTCTCAAAGGTGTCTTCAAAACGAAGCGCATAATTCGAAATTATGCGCTTTTTTCAAATCATTTTGTTCATTATTTTTCAGATGACAAAATTAAAACGCACGTTGTTTTGTTTAAAAAAGTACTTTATGTGGTGTGCGTAAGTTCGATTTTGTGTTTAGATTAGAAAGTTAGATTTTTGATTCTTTAGTTTGACTTAACGTCACATGTCGACGATAGGTACCTACTTTTTGAAGAGATATTTGTTAGGAAATGTGTATCTATGGTTTTATAAATTAATGTTTGTTTATGAATTTTGGATAAATTGTCAAGTATGTGTTGTTAGATGAAATTGTATTTTCTTGATTAGTATTAAAATACGTGATTTTGAATAATAATGATATTAAAGTAGTAATGTAGTTTATTTTTTTAATTATAGTTTCTTTACTTGTTTTTTTATTATTAAAATATTTGACAGTTAATTCGTTTTATGTTTCTTATTTTTCAACCTATTTATGTTTCTTATTCTATTATCTATCAATGTTTTCTACAATTTTAAATAATTAGAATATTAGAACAAAGATATGTATATATTACTCATTTTGTTTTTGTAAGAATATGTGATAGAATGTTTGACGACACGTTTGGCTTAGTTAGTGACCCTACTTGCTATGCCAGCGGTCGCGGGTTCGAGTCCCGCTGGGGGCATTCATTTGTGTGATGAGCACAAATATTTGTACTCTAGTCATAGGTGTTTCTATTTATAATATGTATAAATTTAAAGTTATATATGTGTAGTGTGTCAACTATCTGGTATCTATAATATATCTATAATACAAGCCTCGTAGCTTACCATGGAACTAGATGGTGCTATGTGTTAATGTCCCAACATATTTATTATTATTTATTATTAATATTAACACAAATAATTCGCATAAGCTATAAAAATATTTTAACATGATGATGATGATGCTCTCCTGACCGATTCCGGCCACGGCGGCCAATCTCATAGAGACTAGCCAACTGCGCAGGAGATATTATAGTGCAGCGTGTGCGCGCAGACACTACGTGAACTCTCTATTCCTGTTACTCTCATACTCTGGTGGGGTGACTACTCGACACGATCAGTGAGAAATAAGGCGCAAGAGCGACGGGTTTATGCGCTCTCCGAGGCACGGGGGTGAAACACTGCCAACTTCCCAATTCCGGGCTGTTACTGAGGCTTACTATACAGAAAGACTCAATAACTAAACTTGGCCCGACCCGGGACTCGAACCCAGGACCTCCGGGTGTGCAGCTGTACATGCTAGCCACTACACCACCGAGCTAGTTAATCAGAGTGATATAAAATAATAATAGGTTCTAATAACTAATAGGTTTTAAAATGGTAATTAGTTAAAGAACGTGAATTGTGATTTTGACTGAATTAAGCTCTCCATCTGATATGTAATAGGCAATTATAAATTTTAAATATTTATATTAGTCATTAGTATGAAAGAAATAATTTGTTACTCGCTATATACCTGCGACTTCACTCGCATAAATGGGTAATGCTACTCGTATTATCTATATCTATACATATAATAAAATTGTAACTAAGCCGAATCTGTACATTAAATATTTTTTGTAAAATCTTATTGAAATAGACATTATTATCGATACACAAGCCGAATATAGTAAATCTAATAACTATAGTTTTTATAATTTTTGTCTGTCTGTCTGGCTGTCTGACTGTCTTTGGCCGCATCACGGTAAAACCACTGGAGGGTTTTGATGAAATTTGTTATAATGATACATGGTTATCCGGGTTAACATATAGGATACTTTTTACTGCAGGAAAATATCTCATCTCTGAGAAATCTATACTAAGCGATAAAACGTAATTAATGACAAACCCGAGCGGAGTGAGGGTGAGTCGCTAGTTATATATATTCTCGATACTCAAATATCCATGTCAATTTCCATAGCGATGTTTTGAACGGTGTGGAAGTTAATAAGATGCGGCGTCGTCAAGTAGCGTTTATCGCATAAACTCATATCCATGAAAATTTATGTGTCAAAATTCCAAAGCATTTGATGAAGAATTTTCGGAGATTTGAGGTTTTAAACAAAGGAACATTTATATGTTACATACAACAAGGACTTATATATAACACTAGGGACTCACCCGATAATAATGTCTATTTCAATAAGATTATCCAAAAAAATATTTAATGTACAGATTCGGCTTAGTTCGAATTTTATTATATACTAGCATTGCCCGCGGCTCCGCCCGCGTTCAGATGCCAAAAAACCAAATTCTAAGGTTTTACATATTAGTACCTATACTCTTACATTGCAGTTTTTGTATTTTTTCTCAAAAATGAGATATTTTCCCGCGGTATAAAGTATACTATAAGTTGACCCGGATAACCAGCTATCACTATACCAATATTCATCAAAATCCCTCCAGTGGTTTTTCTGTGATGCGGTAACAGATAGACAGACAGACAGATAAAAATACTCAAAACTATAAATTCGGCCTCTGTATCGATTATAATGTTTATTTCAATAAGTTTTTCCAAAAAATATCTAATGTACAGATTCGGTTTAATTACAATTTTATTATATGTATAGATATACATAGATAAAACAGAGTTTATTAAGTTAAGTAAGTTTATTTAAGTTTTCTATTTGTATAACGATTATCGAAAAACTATTTAGATAATTGATAATTAATCGTAATTAGTCATAATAAATCATATTTTCCTGTCAATACTATAAATAGATAACGTCGACCAAAATCACCACAATGTGTACATACCTTTACATTAGAAGCTAATGGAATATTGTTTTAAATTAATTCAATTATAACTATCGGTGTGTTTGACACTAAACAATCATTTTATCATATTGCCGAGTACTTTGATTGGCACTGGAATAGTTATTGCAAGATATAATTGAAAATTAACAGTATTCAAACAAGCCATCAAATAACTATGACAAGAATTAACTTTCAAATGTTATTTATAATATTGTGTTGTTTGATTTTTGTACCGACTGCAAAAAAGGTGGCGATAATATGACTATACATATATGATTTGACGACACGTTTCGCTCAGTTTGTAGTGACCCTACTTGCTGTCCGAGAGCTCGCGGGTTCGAGTTCCGCTGGGGGCATTTATTTGGGTGATGAGCAAGAATGTTTGTACTCCTGTCATTTGTGTTTATATTTATCGTTACGGTCACGATCTTCATTTAGAGGGAACGAGGAAGAAGAAAAAGAAGGGGATAGAAACTGCGTGTTCTGCTAGTTACTGAATATAGGTAATGAACGTTAAATACCTTATTCTAACAATACTTTCTTAGATTTACACGAAAATTAAACATTTTAAATAAAACTATCATTTCGGATTTTTTTCGCGGGTTTATTTTTATTTTTCTCCCGTGACTATGATTGCTGTAAACCATTTAAAACGTCGGGAACCAAAGATCAAAATAAATCTGCGAAAAAAAACGAAAAAATAATTTTACGTTATTCTTGTTGTTTTTTCTTCTGGAATAGATAAAGTTTACTTTAAAGTGAACTAGTGAGTGACTTATAGTAATAATCCCAAGGCTACGAGAGCTATCAGTAATTAGTGTCCATATGTGGGTCACAGTCATCCTTTGATTGCCCTTGCTCTGGCGTAACCAGTGTAATTGTGACCGCTGGCTATGCTTTGTGTTTACCGACGGTTAAATATCATATATCTCACTTCGAAACCTCCCATTGGCGATCCATTCATATTAAGTTTTAGTAGTTTCGATCATTTTTTATATTTTTATATCTGTATCTATACTAATATTATAAATACTTTTTACCCCGGAAAAATGTACGGTTCCCGTGGGATAGGTGGGTTTTTGTTTTCTTTATAGTGATTTTAATAGAAAAGACATGAAATTAAAATTTAACGTTTATTAATATTAGAAGATATAATATGAAAGTTTGTATTTAAAGTGTGTTTATTACTCCGCCACGCTGATTCGGCTGGACCGATTTTAATGAAATTAGTACACATATAGACTGGAACTGGAGTAACACATACTGTTACGCACCTGAACCGTAAACACTTAGAGGGTAAATACTAAATAGCTAATATATAAATATTTCTGAACACAACACAAACATAAATAACACCACTTTGAAAAAAACCACGTTGGTTTTCAAGATTATTATAATTATGAGATGACAATTAAATTCAATTAAAGAAAAAAAATATGATTTTTGATGTTAATATAATTAAAATCAGATGTAATTATCGTATACCGAACTTAATACCCTCTTATTGGTAAAGGATACTTTAACGATACATTAATAAGAATTTTGCTTTGCCTTTTGTACTAGACCTTTATGTGCCAAAATCTTTTTTTTACAAAGAACATAATTCTATATAATATTTGCTATCAAAAGGCGCTATTTAACCAAGCGTAACACCCTAAATGTTGACAAAAACGAGAGCTACCTTTTTTCGAGGGCCATCAACGTAAGTGGTCACTTGGTACAGTTAAACGTTTCACATCAAACATTCTTTCCCTGAACGATACTTGAGTGAGGTTCGATTTCCGATGGTAAAATGTTTAAGTCCAACGTATCGATTTTCTTTTGAATTTCAAATATTCGTATCGAAAATCCCACGTTGGGCACCAATTTATTATATATTATAAGTAATATAAATACTTGAACATGATATACAAATCATTTTAAATTCTATTATTTTTTATTTATTTTGTAATACATATCTAGAATTCTATAGTTCTAAATGGATAAGAAAAGACTTTAAGGATATTGTCGATACTCATCTACATACGTTCTTAGAAGTAATTTTTACAGTGTGCAAGTTAATAAAAGCACCGATTTAATGATAATATTGGCAGTTTTTATCACTTATCTATTTTATTGTGTTTGCTAAACGAAATATTTTTATATTAATTTAAGAATAACTAATA